GGTTCCCCTCGTTCGTACCAAAGAGCCGTTCAAAAGAATCGGCTCGTTCGCGACCGACACATCACAAGTCCTCTGAAGATCACGTCACGGCTCCGCCTACACTGCGTTACTATAGATACTGCCCCAGTTCCTAAACTGTAATGGAAATGCGCCATAAAGTGAGCCAGTCCTAACGAGGCCCAGCCATACCGAGCGGGGCCGAGCGAGGCCGTGTAGTGGAAACGCGCCATTAGAACACCACATACTCCAAAAGACAGATGATGTAGCTCACATCAGGGCACAGAGCTGCTGCAGCCTCACCTGACCCAGCAGCTCGTTGGCTAAAGCTATTGAATGTTGTGTTGGAAGCATCCTGAGGCCACAGTGGCTTCAGAACATGTAAATAGTCTATCTTAAAAAATATCTTGAATTTATTCGTAGAAAGTTAGTTTGTTATTTAACAGGTATGGAGACTTTTTTTTGTTTCATACATTTTCAAAAATACATTGTTAGAATTTCTAAAAAGTACTCTTACTCAAACCACTAAAATAATGTAAATGAAGCAAAAGGCTCCTGAAATCCTTTCACATGTACTCACCAGTGTAATGCTGCCTTGCTGTGGTCCCAGTATATTTAAACTGCATGGGATGACGGCTACTAATGAGCACTGCACATGATATATATATTTGGAATGCTTTATGGATTGAAGTGGGGGCTGCATTTTGAATTCTTAAACAAGTTATGCTTGTCAGACTGTGGCATGACCTTTGCAACACAAATATAATAAAGACATGAGAATGTTTAGCAAGTTTTGATATTGTTGCATGCTGTTTATACTTTTTTTGACATAAAAAAACTATGATTACTAATGTATAGCTTTACACTGGTATGATCTGGAACTGTGACAGGCTCTGAAAGACTCCAATCCACTTCCGTAGTTGCATTTATAAAGGGAAACAATGGCCTTAATCCAACTGGTCACAAAAACCAAACATTTTTAGATTTTTAGGGTTTTAGATCAGGACCTGGTCTTATGTGGTCTAGATGCGAAAAAAGCACTGAAATCTCCCTTTTTTGTATTTTCACAAATAGAATAATGGTTTCACAAATCTAAAACGGTGTTATAAAGAATCTTTAGACTCTCTGGGGTAATCCAGTCCAAATAAATCGGCTATGCAGCGATCTAAGAGGTTCAAACCATAGACTGTATATATAAAGGTAGACTGTATATATAAAGGTTGAAACCTTTATATATACAGTCTATGGTTCAAACACGGAGGAGTGTTCGCTCAGCGCTGTAAATTAAATGTCCCTTAACTTTCCCCTTAACTGCCGAATCGGAAGCTCTGAATCGGAAGCCAACTTCAGCGTCGTTGAAAACATTTGAGATGCATTTGTTCAGCTTCTTGTTGAGGAAGTCAACAGACTAACCACAGCACTTTTTATAACACGTGACTCTTCCTCCCCAGTAAACATCAGCCTCAGTGTTGCTTAGTTTCTTTTGTAACCAATTTACCCTTACATTTTATATTAAACATTGTTTGTGGTTCGTGTCCTTGCCACTGTAGATATGTATGAACTGTTTGTATTGTTTTTATTTTATGATGTTTATACTTCTTTACACTTTTTAAAGATTGAAAGATGTTCATGCCGGAACACATTGCTGCTGTAACAACACCATTTCCCTCAATAAAGTATATCTTTCTCATACTCAGGCTGGACATCACTGTGAACCTTTATTGAACCTCTTAAATCGCTGCATAGCCGATTTATTTGGACTGGATTATCCCAGAGAGTCTAAAGATTCTTTATAACACAGTTTTAGATTTGTGAAACCTTAATTCTATTTGTGAAAATACAAAAAAGGAATATTTTGCTGCTTTTTCTACATCTAGACCACATTAGACCAGGTCCTGATCTAAAACCACTATACCTAGACTCATCAAATCTGGACTGGATTATCCCAGAGAGTCTAAACATTCTTTATAACACCGTTTTAGATTTGTGAAACCATTATTCTATTTGAGTGAAACATATTAAAATATAATATCTGGCGCCACCTAGTGTCAGAAGATTACTGTCCTCTGGTTACTCTGAGAGTAAGATGTAACCACACCCTATTTCTATACGAGTGGCTTTGACTCTTCTGAGTGAGTCATTTAAAACCAGGCAGATTCTATGGAAAGAAAGAGGAGAAACAGAAATGCACTTTTAATCTCTAGTCTCCATATGATGATTCTTAGTGGAGGTGCACATTCAGCTCTCTGTAACGCTGTGATCCGTTGATGGAAATACTGAACAACTAAAGAAAAACCCTAGTTGATGATTATTTCAAACCTTTATGAAACGTACCGGTTTTGTTCAGCAGGATAATCTCCACATATTAACACCACTTTATGATTGTTAGCGTAAAAGAGAGAACTATAAAGGAACTACAGCACGATCACATTTCATTTATGTTTGAGGAGCTTCAGGTGAGTCAACTTTATTCTGGTGGAGTTTACATGTCGGCTGTCGGGGAGGAATCTCTCCTGCTGATGTTCAGGTGTATATCAGTATGTAGTGTCTCTACTTTAAAGAGTCCTCTCCTGCTGATCTTCAGGTGTATATCAGTATGTAGTGTCTCTACTTTAAAGAGTCCTCTCCTGCTGATGTTCAGGTGTATATCAGTATGTAGTGTCTCTACTTTAAAGAGTCCTCTCCTGCTGATGTTCAGGTGTATATCAGTATGTAGTGTCTCTACTTTAAAGAGTCCTCTCCTGCTGATGTTCAGGTGTATATCAGTATGTAGTGTCTCTACTTTAAAGAGTCCTCTCCTGCTGATGTTCAGGTGTATATCAGTATGTAGTGTCTCTACTTTAAAGAGTCCTCTCCTACTGATGTTCAGGTGTATATCAGTATGTAGTGTCTCTACTTTAAAGAGTCCTCTCCTGCTGATGTTCAGGCGTATATCAGTATGTAGTGTCTCTACTTTAAAGAGTCCTCTCCTGCTGATGTTCAGGTGTATATCAGTATGTAGTGTCTCTACTTTAAAGAGTCCTCTCCTGCTGATGTTCAGGTGTATATCAGTATGTAGTGTCTCTACTTTAAAGAGTCCTCTCCTGTTGATGTTCAGGTGTATATCAGTATGTAGTGTCTCTACTTTAAAGAGTCCTCTCCTGCTGATGTTCAGGTGTATATCAGTATGTAGTGTCTCTACTTTAAAGAGTCCTCTCCTGCTGATGTTCAGGTGTATATCAGTATGTAATGTCTCTACTTTAAAGAGTCCTCTCCTGCTGATGTTCAGTTGTATATCAGTATGTATTGTCTCTACTTTAAAGAGTCCTCTCCTGTTGCAACACACTCTCACTCCCTAAGCGTCCAGGAGTGGCGCATCCATGAATATGGAGGGATGAAACCCTCTTTGATGGTCACACATGCAGAGCACACAGCACACACAGTGAAATTTGTATCTACAGATAAATATTAAGCCTGACAAAGTACTTAACGTCTAATATATTGCTTTCCTGCAATGTTAACTATGTTTAAGCACTTATTTTAACTGATATTATACATATGTATTATACTCTTATAAGATGTATGTAGATAGTATAAGAAATGTGCAGAATATGACAATGTAATGGTGGAGGTACACACATATTGATAGATGTCTTGTAATGCACTGTTGAGGAACCTGCAACCCAAGTTTTTCATTCATTGCATAACTACACCGTAGTTGTGTATAATATGATATGTCAATAAACCTTAGAAAATCTTGAAATCTTGAAAGGGATGTGCAAAATAGTAATTATATACAGTCTTTAATGAACTATTAGTAGAAAATAACGACGAGTAAAGAATATACTTCATAGGGATCCTATTAATATCTAATAATACAATTATAAAATGCAATAACGTGCTTTAACCAGTAGGTGTCCCTTTCTATCAGCTGTGCACCGTTATGGCGTAAATACAGCCTATCTACCAATTGGATCAAATATAAAAGTCAGCCGAATTAGTGTTGATACTGCAAGGAGACGTATTGTGTGAAAAGAAATGTAAGATGTTGTTTAATTGCTGATATATTTAAGATCCACGTCAAGTTTTCAGTTTTGGCGGCAGTTCCTGTTTGTCTAGAAGTCTTGTCATCAGGGCTCTATACATAGAGTTAACTACGGCAGATATTTCATATTTAATGCAGCCGAAACGTGTATTACAATGCCGTTATGTGATGACTTTCAAAGAGAAAAGCAAGCACACTCGGAATAATGTATTATTTTATTGTTTTATACAGTCTATGGTTGCTCCAGAGGATTGTGGGTAATGTAATGTCTTCGGCCATCCAAAACTCATAGAAAACGACTTGTTTGTCAGAATTGAAGGGGAAAACGTGACCAAAGCATTGTACACACACTAAAACCTATCAATGTCGTTTAATTAACAAGGATAATCTGGTGTTTTTGAGTTGATGAGTAGTGGAGATATCACTGTCAAATCAATCGACAGTAAGGGGAATACTTACTTCCGGGTGTACAATTCTCCATTATCCAATGGGAATGGACGCTCACATTGCCTTTAACAGCCTCCGACACAAACGAATGCCGTGCTTCCCTAAGCGTCAAATACCGCCGCCGATGGGAATACATTGCAATCAGTTGAAAGCTCTTTGCGTCCGTTTATGAAGCTGAAGGAGCCTCGGCGCGTCACAACTGGACACGACGGGACCCTGACCAAGCGTCGCTCCTGGACGCTTAGGGAGTGAGAGTGTGTTGTCCTGTGGAGGAGACACAGAGGGACTCTTTAAACTGCAGCTATGGTCCTGTGGAGGAGACACAGAGGGACTCTTTAAACTGCAGCTATGTTCCTGTGGAGGAGACACAGAGGGACTCTTTAAACTGCAGCTATGTTCCTGTGGAGGAGACACAGAGGGACTCTTTAAACTGCTGCTATGTTCCTGTGGAGGAGACACAGAGGGACTCTTTAAACTGCAGCTATGTTTCTGTGCTGCTTTACATAGAACAGCTTTAAAGAGACAAACTAACCAGAGACACAGGAGGCGAGGAAGAGGAGCTGCAGGATGAGGAAGATCATCTTCTCCCTGAGAGGACACACACACACACACACACACACACACACACACACACACACACACACACACGAAGACATACAGTCTGTCTGTAGTTATTATCACAATACTTCAGACTGACACCAGGAACAGTAATGAACTTCTGACACTAGGTGGCGCCAGATATCAATATTATCGTCTCTTTAAACTGAATCAGAACATAGGGTTTTATTTGTACCTCTTTTTTTTCACTTTAGCTGTAACAATGTACATGTCCCCTCTGTGGGACGAATACAGGTCTGATTTCTGATTCAATACAGCAGTCTGTCTTTGACTGTTATTATTATAATCTCTTTTATTATTTACTATTATTATTGGATTTTTGCTATTATTATTTTTATAATTTCTTTGTATTTATTATTGTTATTATTTTGTACTATAATTATCATCATTCTTATTTATTTTTTTAATAATCTTTCAATAATCTGAACTATTATTATTTCTTAAAATCTTTTATATACAATTCATCCTTCGTAATTTATTATTATAATTCATATTATTTACAAAATCATCATATTTATAATATCTTTTGTGCTATTTATTATGTTTTTAGAATGATTATTTATTTATTTTAGAATGACTAATATAGTTATCTGCCCCTCTATTGAGTGCAGTCGATGTTTGCTGTGTCACGGAGAGGAAGGGTGTGGTTGCTAATTGGATCAGCCTTCAGACAGAAACAGGGACTCTCATTAATAATGAAAACTGTATTCCTGTATTGTTCATGAAACTGGAAGCTCTTTCTCCACAAAATACTGTGTAAAAAGTATTTTCCCCAGATGTATTTTTTGTAGTTTAACCAATAGGATACCCCGGATGTTTCCAGTCGTTTTGGTAGCACTTTAATTTATAACCACGAGGTCATTGAGGCATGTCTTTTAGCTCCTTAGTTCCTAACAGGAGAACAAAGATGTGATCTTACCTGTAAACCTTTGGAAAGTGGAGAGATCTCATGAGTCTGGAGACAGCAGGATTCACAGCATCCCTCAATGATTGGTCCCTGAACTGCACTACCATATATGTTACATCTAGAAAACAGCTGTTCAGATCAACAAGCAGGCAGTGGATATCCTTCTCTCTGATTGGCTGATTGCAGTGGTTCAATATCAACAGTCCTCTTATTAATAAAGCAAAGGTTCCCATTGGTCGCCTTTCCCTGATGCATGCAAATTAGTAACCCCCCCCCCCAGTTTACTGCCTCCTGATTGGTCCGTGTGTTTTTAGTTTCACTTTCAAGACTTGGCAGGAATTCAAGGCAGCTGCAGTGTTCATGAAGCAGAGAGACATGAGGACGAACAATAGGGTGAAAGAATAAACACCTTTATTATAACATAAAGGAATAAAATATTTTAACACTTTGAAGTCGATCCAATACGACATTTCCAAATATTTCCTCCTGTAGAACATTCAATGCAGGTTGTGTCACTTTTAAGTCAAAAAGTAAATACAATTGATTTATTTATAATGTGTAACATTTGAGAATGACATTAAGTGCAGCATGGTAACAATATCCATGTACACAAAGGGTTTGATGACCTTACAGCTGAATGATAAAACTCAGTGAAAACTGAAATAAATAAATATAACAAATACACTTTACAGATGTTACACTGAGGTCCTTTCTGACTCTTAAATCAGATGTTGGAGAGTCTCACTTTATGCTCAGATTCAGACGGAGATATGTAAGTCCTGATGGTTTGTTTCTCTGATAAACTCCCCGTATGCATGGCTGCATTGTGGGTTCTTCTCTTATATCTTATTAAAACAATGCAGGCCATGCTGACAAAGAGAACCAGAACAGCTGCTGACACTCCAACGATAAGCCAGAGTCTTCTCCAACTCTGTGGTTGTGGACTCTCTGGTCTCTGAGGTTGGAGCTCTTCAGCAGCTGTGGAAAAGGACAGAATATAACATGAGGAACCATTTTAGTGTTAATATATAACAGGTTTAATCTAGAGTGAAAACATGACAATCTGCAACCTCCATTCTTCTGAAAAACCTCCTGTGGTTCCAGCTTCTCAGTTTCCCCTTTTCCACTAAAATGAGTTCTGTGTGGGGCTGGTTTGGATCACAGTTGGTTTGTGAGAAGAGTTTTATTTTAAAATGAGTTGTGCACATTTTAAACAGTTAAAACAAGCCGTTCTTAAGATTTGAGCAGCAGGACTCTTTTGGTCTTTCATTCATACTTTGTTGAGTATCTGCTATTTCCTTTTCCAACTGGTCCAGGGTATATGCAGGAATCCTGAAGTCAAATGTAAGACCTTTTAAGACCTTTTTTAAGACCCTTTCCATACATTTTAAGACCTCATCGCCACTTGGAGTTGTAACCGGTTACATTGGCGACACACTTTACCTGACATTGACTATATACAGTATTGATTGTCCTTCCTCCTTATCTTCCAACCATTTGGACGCAGACTTGCATTTCCCCATAACGATGTTGTTTAACAACCGGCGTAAACGGACCTTCACGCGCTATCAAGCAGTGAGCGTGCGATGTCCTGTTCAGATGACGTCAAATCCAACGGGATGCCATAAATAAACTACACAGAATCACACTACACACCTACACAATGATTACATTCAGGCAGACTGTAGAATACAACCTCTTTGGACAATTTATATACTTATTGAAAACAAGCTACAAAATGTAATACCTTGGAAAATGCCGTTTAATACTTTTTAATACTTTTTAATAGCCTTCATTTTCACTAAATTGATTTATAAACTTTTAATACTTTTTAAGAGCCCGCGGACACCCTGTGTTAACTGTTCAATTATTGGCGAATATGATCCAATATTTGAGACAACATACTGGATGTAGATGCATTAGTATTTAGCTCTATGGAGCCTCTAGACTTCTACTGACTTTACTACTGAGGTTACTCACCAGTGACGTTGAGCCAGCATCTCCTAGAGTTAGTCCCATCAGGTCTGACGAGTATGTCACACACATAAAACCCAGAGTCATTGGTCCTGAGTCTGGAGACATGAAGTGTGAGGCGTCCTTCTGTGAGGATGTCTTTGTCCCACTGGACTCGTCCTGAAAACTCTGGGTCCTGAGACTCTGGGGATTCAACACCTTCATTTAGATTAAACAGGACGTGGAGCCTGGTCTCAGCATACAGGAAACAGAGGGTAGAGATGGAGCTGAGGGAAGTGTCTGTTCTGGTGCTGAAGGTCCACTCCAGGGTGATGTCCTGGTTCTCCTCTGCCTGATAGGAAGTCTGAGTCACATTCACTACAAATGTTCCTGTGGAGGAGACACAGAGGGACTTTTTAAACTGCAGCTATGTTCCCGTGGAGGAGACACAGAGGGACTCTTTAAACTGCAGCTATGTTTCTGTGGAGGAGACACAGAGGGACTCTTTAAACTGCAGCTATGTTTCTGTGGAGGAGAAACAGAGGGACTCTTTAAACTGCAGCTATGTTCCCGTGGAGGAGACACAACAGAGGGACTCTTTAAACTGCAGCTATGTTTCTGTGGAGGAGACACAGAGGGACTCTTTAAACTGCAGCTATGTTTCTGTGCTGCTTTACAGAGAACAGCTTTAAAGAGACAAACTAACCAGAGACACAGGAGGTGAGGAAGAGGAGCAGCAGGATGAGGAAGACCATCTTCTTCCTGTGAGAGGACACACACACACACACACACACACACACACACACACACACACACACACACACACACACACACACACACACACACACACACACACACACACACACACACACACACACACACACACACACACACACACACACACACACACACACACACACACACACACACACACACACACACACACACACACACACACACACACACACACACACACACACACACACACACACACACACACACACACACACACACACACAGTCTGTCTTTACCACATGACTTAGTACACAGAGGACTGACACCAGGAACAGTAACATATGTCTGACACTAGGTGGCGCCAGATATCAACATTATATTTTATTTGAACTGAATCAGGAAATACTTTCTGCTTTGAGATCAGTGAACACAGACTGAAATACAGGACCAACTGAACCCCTTCAGTTTCGTTTCAGAATCTCTCTGAATAATAACAACAATAATTATTATTATTATTATAACAATAGTGAAGGTGTGGTTCGTGAGGTTAAAGGGACTTGAATGCATTCATGCAGAGTTCAATAATTTAATTGTTGTTATTGCTGGGTGAGGTGTCTCCACTTTCTGCAGTAAGATGACTCACTAAAATAACGCATTTTCTGAAGATAAAATCCAGCTTGAGTAAAACTGTTGAAACTCTGTCCAGATGCCAATACTAACCCTGCCACAGTCAACATTGTTCTCTCTGTTTATGTCAAGTGGAGGGAAATGCAAATACAGTGAGAAAGCCTCTCCAATCTCTAATCTATCGACCGTGGATTCGTAACATCATTTCTCGGGAGAGAAAAATTATGATATAAGCTCATGATATAAAAATAAGAACCAATATTTGCTTACCCTTCCAGCGAGACGAGCGAGACCAAAACAAACATTGGTTCCTGCTTTTATATCAAGAGCAGATGGTTCCTACAATAAAAACGTTCCTGTTTTCACAAACTAGACACTGATACCAAGTTACACAAATTATAATAATAATATAATGTAACCTTTAAGCTAAGTGAGGACATCTCCTGTTTCTTGCAGAGATAGAGATAAGAGGTTCATCTCAACAGGAGAGCAACAGAAAGCAGCAGTAAGATATATTTATTTAAAAAAGTAGAAACATGTGTTCTTACCTTTAAATAGTTGAGACTGCAGAGACCTCAGTGCTGACAGTTCTGTTTTCTGGTTTTCATGTCTGAATATGTCCGATTACAACAACAGGAGTAGTTCACACCTGAGGGGGCGTTTCCACTATGGGATCAACGGCTGATTGGTTAGCAGGAGCCAATGATATAAACGTCCTGATGTGAACCCTGTGAGTACGTGTATCTTCGGATCATTTGTTTTTCTTTATTAAACCAGTAAACGGAAGAGCGTCTGAGAGGCGTTTCTACTTTTTGCTTTTTACCTCACTAAATGGTCAAATTGTCATTGGAGCGAGGGGCGAGGCGAAACTCACAGAAGAATAAGATAATTCATTTCATAGTTAAATTAAATAAATAAATACTTTATTTAATGTCAAATTAAAATCTTAAAATATTGCATGATTTAATGCAGTTTTGTTTTATATGTTACACCAATGTGCAGAAGTGTTTGTGTTTTTTTAGTCTTAACTTTGGCCGATAGCCTCCTTCCCTCAGCCAGCAGTCAGGACAGTGAAAATGGGTCATGGAGGGGTCTTCCAGCAGGACAATGACCCTGAACATATGGCCAAGGCAACACAGGAGGGGCTAAAGGAGAAGCTCATTCAGGTGATGGAGTGGCCTTGTCAGTATCGGCCTCATGTAAATAATAGGGCTATACGCAAGAGAAACTATGCAGATACATACAAGCCGTTTTGTCCTCGTGTAAACGGCACCTTAATCCCATAGAAAATCTGTGGAGGGAGCTGAAGCTTCCAGATGCCAAACATCAGCCTCAAAACCTGAATGATTTGGAGAGGATCTTCAGAGAGGAGTGGACCAACATCCTTCCTGAGATGTTCTCAAACCTGGTGATCAACTACAAGAAGAGTCTGACCTCTGTCTGTCCAACCAGGGTTTCTCCACCAAGAACTAAGACATGTTTTGCAAGGGGGTCAAATAGTTATTTCACACAGTTAAATGCAAATCAATTTTCATCTTTTATATAATGTCAATTTTTGGATTTAAAAAAAAAAAAATTTCTCTCAGTGTTAAAATAATAGATTGTTATTTTCTTTGTAAGTGGGCACATTTACAAAATCTGCAAGGGATCAAATACTTATTTCCTCCACTGTATTTGGAAACATTGTTGAGTCCACCAGATGGCTGATAACTGGTGTTTCACTGAGGACAAAAACAGTAATGTGTGTGTGTGTGTGTGTGCGTGTGTGTGTGTGTGTGTGTGTGTGTGTGTGTGTGTGTGTGTGTGTGTGTGTGTGTGTGTGTGTGTGCACACCTCACAAAATGCTAAAACTAGCTCTCTGTGTTTCCACATGTATACAGCTTTTACTTGATTATAAAAGA